ATAAAGCAAAATAAAACCAAAGGGTTGAACCTAGTCGCTCTGATACCAGAAAGAGAGAAAGTAAAAGATCGGATAATCACCTGAAAAGAGAGAAAGCAAAGGATAGAATTGCTTTCTCTTTGTTTGAGTATGATGGAATTGCCTTCAGAGGGGCCTTGGCTAATTAGTTATGTTTCTTGATGATAAGAAATGAGGTGTATCGTTGTCCTGATGGAATTGCCTTCTCATGGTCCTATTCCTTGTCACTACGTCTCTCTCCCTCTCTAAGCTATACGGATTGTGTGAACTCCGAATACTTGTTTTGTAAAGGGAAAATCGCAGTCTCAACATTGCACGGTATTGATTATGTATGATGCGAGTTAGAAAACTTGAATGTTTGTTTTTGGGTGTGGTTCGCATAAGTTTGCCACTTTAAAACTCTGAAACTTTGTCACAAGATATAATTTTGGTGTAAAAAATCATTAGAATGGTGTAAAAATTTATTTTTATCTCTAATTATAAAATTTTAAAACCCAAAAATGGTTCAAATCATATTGGCAAACACATGAAAATCTTGAAAATAGACTGTCCAAAAAATACAATGCAAAATGCGCTATTTCGGATTGAAATATCTTTATTTTTTCATATATATACTTTGCAATATCCAGATGAGCAATAATATGTTTTTTCAATATCAAAGTAACCCTTTTCGAAGTATTTTAGAGCTGCACACTTTAATTCTACATTTTAAGGTGTAAGCCTTATATAAATTTTTTCTTTCTTTTTTTGTCTATTCTTTTTTCTTTTTTGCTAGTGCCTCAATATTGTGTGTCATGACAATGAGAGTCAAAAGTTAATCGATGGAGAGAGAGGGAGGGGTTATCGAGGAGAACTAAAAGTTAATCGATGGAGAGAGAGAGAGAGAGGTTATCGAGGATAACTAAAAGGGTGAGGTTTGCATAATACCCACCTTATACTGTACAAGTAAGGCGCACATCTAAAATTTGTTGAAAGATGTACTTTTTGTGTTGGAAATCTTACAAGTATAAAAATCAATGATAGAACCTAATTATGAAATTTAATAAAAAAATAGTATAGATCGAACAAATCTATAAACAATTGAAATTTTTGAAAATAAACGGCTTAGTACACTTGTTACAATATTCACTATTTTTAGGACTTGAAATTTTTTTCTTTATATCCATATGCCTGAAGGCTGAGATGATCAATAGGAAGGTTTTCCAACTTTGGAACACTCGATAATACTTGATTTTTGAGATGCACCTTACTTCTATAGTATAAGACTGCAACCTTATATTAACTTTTTAACAACTAAATTTTCGAAATGGAGCCTTATAAGGCAACCGGTTAATGAAAATAAAATAAAGCCTCACCTCAAATTCTCATCCAGAGAGCACTTTATACATCAGAAATCCTCATGATGGCTCTAAAGTCAATTTTCAACACCAACAATAAAATTTGAAGCTCAAAAGATGGGTTGTACATATCTTATTTTTAGGGCGAAATGGACGGTCTAGATAATGTGCTACTATATATACTATTTTAGGGCTTGAAATCCTAATTATTTTATAATCATAATCATCTAGATCGAGAAGATCGATTTGAAGGTTTCCAATGCCAAACTATACTTTTCCAGTGAGTTTTGAGGTGTGGCTTTACTTAGTGGAAAATGGTTTGATAGGGTTGTTGCCCTATCAAAATAAGTAAAGGCTCAACTCGAAACTCATTCGAAATTGCAACTCTAGCATCGAAAACCTGCAAATTGATCATCTCGGCTTTGACCATTATGGTTGTGAAAACAATTAAGATTTTCAGCCCTACAAATAATGTATATTGTAATAAATTATCTAGATTGACCATTTTGCCCTAAAATAAGGGTTTATGGATCAACAAGATTTGTACCATTTTTTGAGCTTCAAATTTCATAGTTGTTGTTGGAAATTAATTTTAGACCGTCATAAAGATTTCCGAAGCCCAAAATGCTTTCTAGATGAGGATTCAAAGTTAGGCATTATTTTGTTTTATGAAAACCTTAGCCTTATAGAAACTACATCCTTTGGGCCTCCAACACTATCAAAATATTTTCCAATTTTTAAACCGGTTTTGTTAGACTACATCACTTGGTGGTGTACACCCTTAAAGTCTTTAATATTTTTGGACACATAGATACCCTTATCTTACATAGTAGTAACTTTTGTCTAGGGGTATTTTAAGTAATTAATCAATGGTAAAGTAGAAATTCTTAATAGAAACAAAAGCATTTATAGATACTATTATCCTATAGAGTAGTAACTTTTTATCTAGGGGTATTTTAAGTAATTAGTCAAAAGTAAAATAGAAATTCTTAATAGAAACAGAAGCATTTATAACAACAGTAGACAATGACATCACCGACATGGTATATGACATCACCGACAAGATGTATTAATTGTTTTTAATTACTAATAGAATGCAATTAATTTTTTATAGAAATATCCATTCTACTTTTCTAGATGACTAAAAATGCCCCTACTTGAAAAACTTTATATTACAATTCATAGGTATCTACATGTCCAAAAAATGTTATGGACTTTAAAGGCATGAGAAAATTATGGACGGGCATACTCGGGGGAGTCAATTACAAAATGGGAACTTTATGTTCCCAAATTACGGATGCCCCCCCCCCCCGGGCTTTTTTTTTTTTCCCAGTTTACCTTCCTATCCGATAAATCGAACATCAGACAAGTTTTTTTTTTTCGTTAAATTGAAAAGAGTCTATCCGGTGTTCAAAACACTTTTTCATTTAATTGAAAAGAAGTTGTCCGGTGTTCGATTTGCCTGACAACAAGTTTGTCTCTTTTAAACCAAAAACTCCACTTTTGCTCTGTTCATTGGACATGGTTGCCCTATTCTTCTTCTCTCTCGCTCTCTCTTCGCCATTTTGCCAATCCAATACTAATTTCGATCAATCTCTGGTGAAATTGAAGCACAATCTTGCTAAATTCGAAGCACAATCATATCAATCGAATCAGGTATGTTTCAAAATTTTTATTCTTTTGGAGAAAATAAAATTTGGGAATTAGGGTTTTGGGGATAAAATAATCCCAAAATGGGAGAAAAATCTGATCAGAATGTTTGGATATGCATATTACTATTTGATTGGGTTTGAAAATAGGATTTGTTTTGGTATTTAGGGTATTGGGGATAAACTATCCCCAAATCTTTTATTGAGACTTTTTTTTTTTTGTGAACACCCAATGGTGGTTTTTTTTGTTCTATATATTTGTAAATATTAGTTCTTTGTTATGTTAGTTTCCAGCGTTAATTACATAAGTGTTTTCTTAATTTGGAGTTCTCGGCATGGTATTCTCTAGATCAAGTATTCATTTGTTCCTTCATGTGGAAATTGGAACTTGAGTGTCCATCTTGTGATGTATATTAACTCTCTAGGGCAAAAAAGCCACATGGCGGATTTGCTTAAGAATAACTAGATGATTATTTTTAAGAAAAATGTAGGTTATTGAGCTCTGCAATACCTAGAAATTGCTCGCGAAAAATTAAGCAGTCCCTATTCAATATTGGGATTGCTTTTTCTTTCAAGCATATAGAGTTAATGGTTTGTTATTTTTGTTTTTTAATTTATTTATTTATTGAAGTTGGTCTCTAGGTTGAAGATGTTACATCTCCAAAATGATCAAGTATTAATTAGTGTTTTTTTGTTGTATTTTAATAGAGATTTCTTTTCAAAATTTCTTTAATTTTTGTTGTATTTCTCTTTTGTAGTTTTTTTTTATTTTTTTTTCCTATACCAATTATGTGGACCTTATAATATTAATTCTGCTCACCAGATTCGTTCATGGCCACTGGTGGAGTTAGATTATTGGTTCCCCATAGTGGTTATTTTGATCGTAACGAGTATGACAAACAAACAATTTATATAGATGGTAACTTAAAAGCCACAATATATAAAGGAGGCGACTCACTACAATAATTAAAGGCACATATTGGGTCTATATTGAGCTCTGACCCAAATAGTTTGAAAATTATGTATGAAGAAAAGGAGCATTTAGTTGACTTAATAAATAATGGGGATGTATCGTGTATACTGATGGTGGCATCCAATATATTCCTTCGTGTTGCAAACCAGCCATCACAACCAAATCCAGTGGAGCATCAGCCCTTTGTTCATACATTTGCTCCATCAACGAGATAGATATGTGGGATAAAAGACCTTCAATATTTATATTTTAATGAAATCGAATTATAATTGAACTACATGTGGATCGATACCTACTAAATGCTTAAAATTATTTGTCACAGCTACCTTTCTATACAAGTGAATGTCCCTACAACGAGTAACATAGTGGCAGTGCAGGGGTCAGAACCCGAGGGCGAGCCAGTGATGGAACATGATGTAGACACCACGACGCCCTTAGAGCCCCCATTCATATCAACACATCCACGGGTTGATGTAGTTGTGGGACATGAATTCGAGACTATTCTGGATTTACATAATCACTTAGTTGATTACGCAATGTATCATAATTATGTGAGGAAGTACCGTAGAAATGATCGAGAAAAAGTGCATGCATGCTGTAAAGGAGCATTGGATTGCACTTGGTGCGTGCGGTGCTCTAGAGTCGAACAGTCAAAATTCTTAGGGTGAGAGAATTAAAAAATGAGCACACTTGCAGAGGACCAATGGGCAGGGCGCATCAACAATTGGCAAGAAGCCAATGGGTTGCAAAAAGGATTAAACCTTGACTAAAATACTAGATGACACTCAGACCTAAAGATATTGCAAATGATGTTCAGCGGGATCATGGTGTCCAATTATCATACATGCGAGCTTGACATGACAAAGAATTTGCAAGCGCAATAATCCTAGGCTCAGAAGTGCAATCATACACTGGACTACCTCTCTATCTTGAGAAACTGAATGTCACTAACCTTGGAACTATATCAGTCTATTTATTAGCTTTCGTCCATGCCTCAATGGATTTCTGCATGGTTGTAAGGCAATGTTAGGGTTAGATGGGACATTCTTGAAGGGAACATATCTGGGGGTCCTATTGGCTGCAATCGACTTAGATGCTAATGGTGGCACTTTTCATGTTGCGATTGCAGTGGTAGAGAATGAACACACTAAAAGTTGGATGTGGTTCTTAGAGAGATTGAATTGGGTGTTTCTTTAGGAAGTAAGAACTTAACACGTTTGACAATTCTCTGTGACCGTCAGAAGGGTTTGCAAACTGCAATTAGAACTGTATTATGGGATCGTATCTAGGTCATTGCATGCGCCAGCTTGTAGACAATTTCAAGAGAACATGGAAGAGCAAAGTACTCCTAAAGGAGTGGTGGCAAGCCGCAAGTGCATTATCAACTGAAAGGTTCGAGGAACAGATGTAGAAAATTAAAGATATAGATGAAGCAACTTACATTTGGATAATGACTTAGGGTAAAAAATACTGGGCGAATCCTTATTTCGAGGGCAAGAGGTACAATCATCTTACATCCAACATATATGAGTCATTTAACAGTTGGATTTTAGAGGAACGTGAGATGCCTCTCATCCCTTTGTGTGAAAACTTAAGAATTAAGTTATTGAAAAGATGGGCTGAACGTCAGCTGGAAAGTGAGCAGTGGGATAGTGTTTTAGTGCCTAAAGCACAAGATGTTCTCAATGAACGGATTACAAAGTCAAGGTTCGGGTATAATGTTATATGGGTCGTAGACATAAAATATAAGGTCCATGAGGAGATGGCCCATGCTGTAGATCTTGATGCTCGAACCTGTACTTGTAGAGTGTGGAGGAATAGCGGGTTCCCGTGTACCTATGAAATTGGAGCTATGAATCATTGTCACCTCCATCCACTCTACTTTTGTGAGCCGTATTTCAGAGTTCAAGCATACAGGACCACCTATGCAACTGAATTCCATCTTGTACCAGACTCGGTGCCTTTGACTGGAGCTTTTAATAGAATTGTATATCCCCCAATTACCAAGCGATATCTAAGAAGGCCAAAGAAACAGCGTAGGCAAACAGAAGAGAAATCCACCAAGGTTTATATTTGTAAGTATTCATGAGGAGTTGCAGAGACCATCAGTACTCCACTGCCTCGGACATCCGGTGGACCAAGTGCCTTTGGATCATCTTTTCAGCCTTATGCTTCTCAAGTATTTGATTGATGACCATTTTGATGGTGCATGTTTTGAGAAAGAATCATGTAATTTGGATGGTGCTTGCATTTGGATGGTCTCTTTTGATGGTGTGGATATTTGGATGTAAATTTTGATTGTGTTTGCATTTGAATATAAATTTTGATGGTGTTAGTATTTTGATATAACTTTTGATGATGTTTTTATTTGGATATAATTTTTTATGGCATTTGTATGGATGTAAACTTCGTACTTTGGATAGTGTTTGTTGTAAGTGAAAATTTGATGGTGTTTTTCGATGATTTTTTTTTAGCGATAGGGGTATAAAAAATAGTGCAAATTTGATGGTGTCTTTCGAAGATTTTTTTGTGAGTGATATGGGTGTAAAAAATAGTGCAAATTTGATGGCGTCTTTCGATGAATTTTTGTGAGTGGTAGGGGTTTAAAAAATAGTGCAAATTTGATGGTGTCTTTCGATGATTTTTTTTTTCTTTGCTTGTAAATTTTGTTGTGAGTGAATAATTGACGTTTATGGTTACAAAAATTATCTCCAAGTTAGAACAGGGTTATCAAAAAAGATGAAACTAGAATAATTTTAAACTTAAAAAAAATCAAGTAAAGACATGTGGGCAACATAAGGTTGTCCAGCATTTGCTCTACCGGACAACCACAGGCATTTTTTTGGGCAAAAAAGCTGTCCCGTAGAGCAAATACCGGACAACGTTACGTTAGCGAACACCTATAGGTAACATAAGGTTGTCCGATATTTGCTGTACGGGAGAGCCACAAGCATTTTTTTGGAAAAGAAGCTGTCCGATAGAGCAATTCCCCCAACCCAAACAAAACCTAATTTCAGACTGCCAAATTTGCTAATCAAGACCCTTTGAAACCTGCTCTTTCAAATAATTTCAAACTTCAACATAATTTCAGACTCCCAAACAAAACAAAGCAATCAAAAAGAAATTTACATAGACACGAGATTTCTAAGGAAAATTTACATTGAAATTGTAACCCAAAAGAGTTTACAACGAATTTGTAACCCAATTTACATCGAAATTATACAATAAAAACTCAATGTCCTCTTCCTCTTTTGGGGGCAAGTACTTTTAGCCTCTTCCCAGAGGCTGGTGAACTGGGACCCTGTGACGACCTTAAAATTTGTGGAATTAACATATAATATTAATAATGTTGATAGAAATAAATAAAAAATAAATAAATAAAATAAAATAAAATACTTACAATAAAGAAATATTCTGAGCGATAGTTAATTGTGCATTATAGGGACCATTATTTTTACTTATATGATTTTAGCAACTCTTTTCTTAAGTTTGTACCTGGCCATTTTGTTAGTATGGACCCTTGGTCCACCAACTTTTTGTAAGAAGTTTTGTGTAAAGGTGGGTGGCATCTCCACCTTAGGTGGCAGCCCACTTACATCATGTTAAAACACCTTACAAAATTTCATTTGGGTGGACCTTAGGTCCACCATCTTGAACTTCATATCTTACCGACCTTTGCTTTTAATGTGGAAGCTTTATATCCCTCTCATCTCGTTTTTAAAACACCTTGCAAGTGTTTTTTTTTCTTTATTTGAAACTTCTCTCTCTGTCTTTCTCATACCTTGAGCTGCGTTTTCTCTTTTTAGGCCACAGGTAATCTACGGCCTCATGAAGAACAACAATCTATATCTCTCTCTCACAGTCTCTCCTTTCGCTAGGATTTTTGTAAGTTTTTTTTTTTTACTAATTCATATCGCTTAATGTCAATGGTCGAGGAATGGCTGCTTCTCTATCGTCTAGGTTAATCCACAATGTTTGCATATTGACGCCCTTACTTTTATCTTCTCTCTGTCATGCCCCATTTCTTGAGTTCTCTCATTACTTCGACTCTAGCTCCAAAGTGCCCCATTTCTTGAGTCCTCTGATTACTTCGACCCTCATTCCAAAGTTATGAGTAAGTGATCTCATTCTCTTGAAAAGTAATCCGCTTTTAATACAATTGTGTTATTTCCGTCCATCATCTTTATTTTATAAGTTTTATGTGTAAGCGATCACAATTTTTTGTAAAATAGTTATTTAAGAACTGTTGTTTCCGTATTTTTTTCTATCAATAATTTTGATTCTGTAAGTATTATGTGGAAGTGGCCTTACTTTTCCTGAAAAATAGTTGGTTAACAATTTGGAATTATGTGCTATAAGTTTTACGTGTTTCTGTAACATGATTTGTGGTATGTCTGTTTATTGTTAAGGATATTAGACAGTTTAGAATTCTGTATTTACCTATGGATTTTCATGAGAGTTCTTCTATTAATAATAGATTGTTTATCAAATTACATTTCAAGAATGTCTCTCAGAACTGCTAGCTTTCTAGAATTATTGCCCAAAATGTTTGACTGGCTACTTATAGATATTTCAATGAAAATGATTGTTATGAAATTGCTTCAAGTGAATTCCTGTTAATGATTTCAATGATACTTTGCATATATGATGTTGCTGCTTTCTGATGGTAAAAGAGTTTCAGAGAAATTTGAGTATAAGTGGACATATCCGGTTATGCCGGTAGGGATTACTTGGACTTATCCGGAACGCCGATGATGTATGATTAGACCTGCAGGTATTGTTAGGACCTATCTGGTTATGCCAGTAGGGACTATTTGGACTTATCAGCGACGCCAGTGAGGTATATTTGGATATGCAGAGATTGTTAGGACCTATCCAGTTATGCCGCTAGGGACTATTTGGACTCATTTGGGACGTCGATGAGGTATGTAGGGACTATTTAGACTCATTTGGGACATCGATGAAGTATGTTTGGACTGGCAAGGATTGTTTGGACCCATCAAGGACACTAGTGGGGTCTATTGGTGACCTACTTAGGACGCCAGTAGGGTATTTTGTGAAATCCTTTGTGTTATGCATTGATGTTAAACTGTTTTTATGCATTTCAATCTTTTAGATTATGCTTAAATCATGTATTTCTGAATGAGAAATTGTTCTCCATCAATGCTCTATATCTTTCAACCATGATTATTTTTTAGGACCATGATGATTACTTACTGAGTAGCCAAACTCATCAAACTATGGTAAATATTTTTCAGGGTAATTGCAGTTTTATAGTTCGAATGCAGCAAGACTATCTTTGAAGAATTTGTAGGCATGATTGACCTTCCCCTTGTAACTTTTGATCAAATGCACCGTTGTAATTTTTTTTCGATCAAAGAGATGTATATATCCAGACCTTCATGTTAATATTGGTAGTGAGTAGACTATGTACAGATTAAAAGAAATGGAAAAATATGTTTTGATGCAATATATAAGTAGAGTTTGTGAATTTGTTCTATGTAGTATAAAAATAGTCTGTCGCACTTCAGGAATGTTAGTGAGCTTGGGGTGTGACAGGCCCGCTCTCGCAGCAATCCTGGGCTCCTGTGCCTATGTGGATCCTCCTCTTGGAGCTCTTCTACGATGCATCTGTAGCTGTGGCTCAACAATTAATACAGGTTCTTGTTCAGAGTCATCACTAGACTCTTGTTCTTCCTCAACGAGTTCGCCTTTACACAACATCAGCTCTCGCCTTAGCTCCCTAAAATATCGATCCTTCATCCTGGGGTCTTGAGCTGCCTATTATCAATAATCTCAATGAAATGGTATGCTTTGGACAACTGAAACAACACAATTACAATCAAGATACTATCACAAAAAAAATAAAAATAAAAAATTATATAATATAAATTTAATCTGAATACAAACTTACCATGTCATTACCATATCCTCAAGGTGCATACACATCCATCAGAGAGTTCTCTGGTTTATGAATTTTAGGGATAGGAACCTGCATGTACCACACACTTCATACTCCTTCGAAGGTAGACCCCCACTCGGGTCTTGCCCACCTATTTGACGATACTGAAGGCGGTCGTGCTAGTCTCTGATTTGAGAGGCGAGTTTTGCTACCAATTTTCTTCATTTTTACCCCACCTCTCAAATCTTTCCCATCAACCGGGATTTGCTGGGACGGGCTGTCTCAAACCAAATTGTCTTAGTACGCGGTCTGGGAGGTACTGCTATGCGATGTTGTCAAATATCAGATATGTCTTGCAAAGAGTGGTATCAAAGGCCTGTCGATCTAAATCCTGTCGGTAGTATGCGAGATTCCGAACTAGGTTATCCCATGTGCATGGGTGTACCCATCTTGTAGCCCTTGGTATACCAACTTCAACCCGACGACTGCCGAACATAGGCCACAATGTTTTGAAATGCTCGAATACCCATGACTGACTAACATACATACAATACTTATGTTAACATGTATGAAATGTATACATATAGCTGAAAGAAATGTATGAAATTCACAAAACATAACCCTTTAAGACACAAATAAAGAATAAGTAGCACAACAAAATGAGTTTACCTGAAATAATGTCGCACACTCAGAGAGGTGAGAACCGGGTGATGCCGAAACATCATTCAATACATTTTGGCTCCCCCTCTTAATTTCAGAAGTAACAAACTTCTTCAGACCCCTAAAAAGATATGCTAGGGTCGTGGCCCCCCATGAGTGCCGACCCACATTATCAAAATCCTCGAACAAGGTCAAATACCTAATAAGGACTTCATTACCTTTCGATTGCCGAAAATTGGTGCTGCTTATTAAATATACCAAAAATTCCCTAGTGTGTCATTCTATTTGTTGATGTGTAGGATGATAGTGGATACAAACACTAGAGCAAATTTCCTAGCCGAAAAATAAGGCAACATGGGCACCTTCAACAAGCCACTTGCTAAAAACCAAGTAATAATCCTTTAAATAACAATTACAACAATTTTCTAGCCTTGTAAAACCACTGTAAATAAACTCAAATACCAACCCCTTATGGGGCAATTACATATAAAGCAAGACTAGCTTATGAATTACACTTTCATCATACA